TGTGTGTGTGTGTGTGTGTGTGTGTGTGTAACGGACCAAACATAATATCTCGCCCGGCTGAAACGCGAAAGTCACAACACCTCTCGGGCTAAACTTAATCTCAAAAGGTACCGCGTATCTCATATTTGAATTCTTAGATGACGGCGTATGATAGCTCGAACTCCCAGGCCTGGAGTGTGTAACGGACCAAACATAATATTTCACCTGGCTGAAACGCGTTATCGGTACTATATAGCATTCTCTATTGCAAGGTATCTCGCATGTAGCTAACAAAGATCGTATGAGCACAAACAACTTTGGCTGCCTCCATTGACCGAGCTCATAGTCACATCAACGCCTCTCGGGCTAAATTTCATCTCAAAAAGGTGCCGGGTAACTCATCATTGATTTCCGAGATGACAGCGTATGATAACTTGAACACCCAGCTTGTGTTACCATTTGCCCGCACGGGCATTCCGACTTGCCACCAGCAGGCCGACAAATTTGCTTACATTTCTCTATGAAATACGCAAGCTGAGCATATGTACATTTACTTTAGCCAATGCTCGGGGCCTCCTGAGACTTGCGGTGTGCCCCGATGAAGCCCGCGGCTGTGGGGCGGATTGCTGAGGCCGCTGGCGCTTCGGGGATAAACATCACAGACAGCACCGAAATTCACCCAGCTTTCGTTACCATTTGCCCGCACGGGCATTCCGACTTGCGGTCTGCCGCACTGTCCATGCGGCATGCACCCGGGATGGATGCGATTCGCGTGGAGCCCGCAGGCGGTGCTGACGGTTCCGCCGGTGCAAGCTTAGCTCTCACACCATCAGCACTGCTGCAACAAAGCACGTCTCCCACCGCGTTGACACTACCCATCAATTGTCACACGTGCCGCGCTAGCCAGTGTACGGGCCGAAACCTTACTGCCAATGCCGAAATAGTTTCCGTTTTTTGGACCCTTCTGCGAAACCTCGCGAAACTGCCGGAACCTGCCGAAACCCTGAAAATGCTGTATTTAATGACGTCCATGGTATGCAAACGTTGTTCGTGGGCCCTATGTGCCTTTGCGCCTCATGGGACCTGCTCATGTGTGTCCGAAGGCACTCCGGGTCACCATAATGTTACTAATCTGCGATTAAAGCTTGAATTCACTGACATTTTTTATGTAACTGGCGTCTGATGTTGGGATGCGCAAAGGGAAACTTTTACATGAAGCTGCTGGTGGTTGGGGGCCGCTGAACCAGGTTGAAGATCTGCCCTCCATACCACTGCTCACAGCCATCTTGGGTGCCACATGCTGGGCCCCATTCTCTAAATCTGCCTGTCGCTCAGTACTTGCAGATGATAGTCCAGTTCTTACACTTTGCATTGTATTCTTTCTTCTCAAAGTGAGCCCAAACGGTCTGATCAGCGGTCCTTCCGCCCTTGTTTTTGACCGGATCTGTGTCTGCACTGACAACGGAAGTTGTCTGAGACATTGATAAGATAAACTCAACATTCGCAGAGTTTCGCAGCCTTGCACAACGCGCCTACAGTTTGAAACTATTCAAAGTAGGTTCCGCCGTACGGCGCTAGCTAGCCGAAAGGGGCCGAAACTAGTTTCGGCCTTTCCGCAGAACCAGGACCTCTTCGCCGGAAACACCGAAACTAGTTTCGGCAGGTTTCCGTTTCGGCAGGTTTCCGTTTCGGCCCGAACACTGGCGCTAGCTACCGGCCTGTACGGATGCAGGGGGGCCCACTTTTTTCCGGCTTCGAGGAAGCCGACACCCGACTTGTCCTTGTTTGGGACCTTGTTTGCTTTTTCTCCATTTTTGGGCGAGGCCCCGGACGCGAAGCGCCATTCGGGGGGCCGAGCCAGGTGTTCACTGCTGTCAGTCAGTCAGTCTGTCAGGGGCTTACATATCTTGCTCCGCAAAAAATAGCGTTGAAAAGCTACATCAATTCTACATCGATTGTCCAAAGGAGATAATTCAGATAAATCGGAGCGCAAAGATACCTTTCCAGGGTAAGATAAATTTACATATCTCGCTCCGCTAAAGATTGCATGTAAAAGCTACATCGTTTTCACTGATTGGCCAAAGGAGAACATTCAGATAAATCGGAGCGCGAAGATAGCTTTCCATGGCTTCGAGTTTGACTCCCGCAGCCTTTGCCTCTGACGTCGTTGCATGTCCCTTACATGATAGATTCATAAGCAAACGGCATGATCCTTTATAGGCTGATAACAGATAGCGGAGCAGCTGTGAAGGTCACAAATCCACGTGCCAGGAAGAAGAGCGTGGGTGGTCAAGCGGCAAAGCCAAAGCAGGTACCAAACGGCTACATGTTGTTCACGCAATCACAGAAGGCAGAAGCAGCGGCAGCTGGACAGAGCTCCCTGCCTCATGAGCATACAAAGCAAATCGCCTTGAAGTGGCGGCAGCTGTCACAGCCTGAGAGAGACTACTGGAACCCGCAGAGCATGCAACTCCGGGAGCACCAAACGGAGCACTGAATGTTTGAATCCCAGGCAGGCGTGATGAAGGAGGCCGCTGTGTGAATCTGTGTGAATCTCTGGCAGCCGTGTGACTTGTGCTGCATGTAATCTGATGAAGGGCCATGGCCATGGCCAAGGGTGCTGTGTGAAATCCAACACGCCCTACACCACACACATAACGCAATGCCCTCTAAGACCGAGAATTCATGCACTTCTTCACATACACTGAATGAATGAAGGTTACAGCGGACCCCTTGCAAGGAATCGTCGGTGCAATGCATCCCCGCATCACAATGCCCGAAAGTTAACAGTAGCTACAGCCCGCCAGCAGAACACCCAAAAATGCAGAGACACCCAGCGGGACCACCACTACAAGGGGCAAACAAGGGGCAACAGCGACGCATCACGACTGCACCGGAAAAGGATAAAGCAGAACTCGGGGGAAGTCACCTACACAGGCACCTCAGGACACACTACCACCACCTACACACAGCGCTCCAAGGGGGTGGCGCTTGCATCAGCCAGAGCTTTGCTCGGCTCACCCGAGCCACCATCTTCAATTCAACTTGGCCCACCGTGCCGAGGGCCACGGGGCAGACCCAGAAGTGATGCGACACGACTTGACCTGCATTCCCGTGATGCACTCCACCGTTGTATTGTTTGTTTGAAAGGCGGTGCTGGGACAGTTGGCGGGCGGCGGACGGCTGTTGCGGCTTAACGACCCGAGAAGGTAGGTAGGTAGGTAGGTAGGTAGGTAGGTAGGTAGGTCGTATTGTACGGGGTTCGTTGCTTGGTAATCCGTACAGGCCGTACACCGTACAGCCATTTTATTGGCAGTGTCAGCGGCTACTTTCTCCCATTTGCAAAACTGCATATTGGGTCAAAATTGGATTTGTAACTGATCCGGCTTATCGGCATTATCACAAGATTTGGTCGCTGCATCCTGCCGGCCTTCCGGCCCCCACCCCCTCCATGTCCCCCACGTTCCCCACGTCTTTTTCATTTCGTGTTTACTCCGTTTGCCCTCTCCGCGCACAGGCGTGTGGTTGAGGCTAAGGCTGCCGTACTGCCGTACTGCCTCATTGTATTGTATTGTATTGTGGTTACAGTATTTCCGCCGCCGACGCGGCGGGTGCCCTCACGAGCCGTGAGGCTCCAGAGCACGCTGTTGACGCTCATCAAAAACCTCAGTAAGGAAAGTAGCGATTTTCCTCGGATTGGTATTAAGAAATACCTTGCGCATATCAGTATCTTCAACGTTAATCAGAAACCTATTACGCAACTCAGTATACGCCTCACACTCCATGAGCACATGGTATTCATCCTCAACCTTACCCGACGTACAGACCTGACACGTACGGCACTCTCTCGGCCTATGGTGTCCTTTGTTGACCTCCAAAGGCCAACAACAAAGACGGAATTTGGCAACCATACGCAACTGGTTGGCCGGCAAATAAACACGCAAATAGCCTGTGGGATCGGAGCCCTCTCTTGCTGGTGAAGGGGAGCCCATCCAGTTATGATACCTGCAAAGCGAAACCCCTTTACCTTGGAACACACGCGGATCACCCCCTTGGCTGAACTGATCCCAGTCACTTAAAAGGAACGCAGATAACCTCTCCAGAACCTCACCCACTCGAATCAACTGAGACGAGTATACATCTACCTTCTGAGAAACGGAGTCACACGCCGGCCACTCATGGCCCAACCAACGCAAAATGATGAGCACTTTAGACGACCAGCAATCCACTTTGAGATCAGACAGAAGAGCCAGACGGAGATCATCTACTAACACGTCATGATAGACCGACCCACGGGACTTGACTATCTTATTCCAGAAACACAA